GGAAAGAGATTTCTCTGTGCCCCAAGGCTTCCAGCTCCGTATGTGCCATTTCTTTCACTTCTGACTAGAGATGGAAGCGATATAAAAGCAAACAAGAGCATTGTGATCTCTCTTTAGTAAAATCTGGACATTTTTGTCTCTTTTTGAGAGCCCGGGCTGTATTATTTGTGAATTTGAAACGTATTCGGTTTAAGTGGGAGTTTTCTGTGTTCAGGCTAAGAGACTGAAGGCTTCAGTTAAGATGCAGGGGGGAAGAAAAATGTTACAAAAGGTGATGCTATTGGGACGTGGGCTACAACTGCACAGCAAATGCCCTTTATTTTGCAAAGTTTAATTCGAGGGGTGGGAGGCAAAGGAGAAAGCATTAACTGAATAAGTCTGACGAAGAGCATAAGGGCAGGACATGTATTTGAGGCCTGCATAGGTACACTTCATCAGCAATAAAAAGTACAGAACCAGACGAGCTGAGCAGTTGTTTAATTAAACATGAATACAAAAGAAAAATATAAATTCATTGGTATTAATACAGGAGCATTCTCTCCGTTTTAATTGAGAGAGAGATTCTGGAGAGATTATCTCAGTTGTGGAGAGTACACTGACACAGAGCTCTTTCGAGCATGGTCATGCACCCACAGCACATTTCGGGATGATACATACTGAAAATAAGTCGAGAGATTCTCCTGTTTTGATTTTTGTTGTGGTTCATTAGCTCAGTTACGATTAGGCAGCGATAACAAGTATTGTTAGGACACGGATGCTTGTTTAATATAGCTGGATGCTATGTCATTGTGTAAAATATGCCTTAATTCAGGATACGGACTGTTAGCTGCTTTTAGAAAAAAAATATGTATATATTACTGTAGGATAAATCGGTTTTCAGCCCTCATCTGGAGGACAAACCAGCTAGCTAAATGTTTCCTGCTTTCTTACAAAAAGTTAGTTTGTGTAAGTTTTTAATTTAAATCCTTTTGCTCTCTTAAAAGTTGCTGCAAGTGCCTACACTCCCCTGCGATGCCCTATTTAGGTGCTAACAGGACAGAGAGGAGCTCACAGATCTCCATCTTCAGCGAAATTGTCAATTTTTTTGCTTTTTTAGCAAGAGGTGTTTCTTTTCCAGCTCTAACATTTTGATATTAAGCCAAAAAAAGCCCTAAATATCTGGAGCACATACGCAAGCTATATGCTGCTTAAAAACCTAATTTCAGAAGCGATTATCATGGTTTCGGGGGAGGTGGGGAGAAGAGTTAACAAACGATTTTTCTAATGTGTGAAATTAAAAAGACCTATAGCTCCACTTCCACATTTCATTTCTTACACCTTAAGTACAAATAACCACACTTTTTTCCCCTCCTGATTTATAAATCACTTCTTTCACTATTTGGTAGGTATTCTAGCTTTTTTGCCGTGAATATCTGATATTATTAAAAGCAAAATCTTTCATCAGCTCCAATAGTTAGCAGTTGGACGAGTTCCAACTCCTGCCCGTACAGCCACACACTTAAAAATTAGGACATAGCACCCTATACGACCAGAAAGGAAATAGCTGGAAGCAGTGCCCTGCTAGCCGATCTAAAAAAGCAAATTTTAAAGCCTTAATTATGAATGAAAAGGCAAGTGATTCAGCTGGAAGCCCAACTCGTAGGGCTAACTCTTAATGTACATCGAAGGTCCTCGGTTCTGAGCAGCATGCTTCCCCATGAGAAAGGTCATTCCTCACAAACAGCGTCTAAAGGAAAAGTACCATCCACAGCAGACCCCAGAACCGAGACAAGTCCCACTTTACAAGCATATTGCAGGGGAAAAAAAGGAGGAAAAAAAGAGATAAATCCTAAGTTTCAGAGAACAGCACATTTGTGTTTACAGACCTGCTATGAAATCCTGCTCACCTAAGCTGATTTCTTTTCATCTCAGCTCTTTCATTCCCTGCCTCCTCCCCACGAAGTTACAAAATATTAGCAAACTCGCAGCCAGTTTGACATTGAGGGTGATCCCCGATTGAAATCGTGGTTTTGACCAGTTTTATTTCAAGTACGTCATTTTAGGGAGTTGGAGCCACTAAAGTTATAAAATATGGCATCCAACGAGTTTGAAAAACCACTCGAAATTCATCCACCAGCCTGTTTAAAACGTTGTCTTTTTTGGAAACCCGGGTCACGTAGGTACCAGTGATGAAATATTTTCTCCCTCTCTGGATACCAACCTGCAGCGCAGTCCTCCCAAATCCATTTTGTGCATTGACGTTTACATTCTTTTGCAACAAATTAGTAAGTTGCACTAGGTCCCCCTTGGCAGCCGCGGACGCCAGCTCGTTCCCAGAAGGCTCGGCCATTCTTTAGGGTGACTGACGATCGGAAAAAAGATGAGATTTTTTTTTTTTTTTTTTTTTTAACCAGGCATGGCATCGGAGACTGACAGAAGGATTGGGATGGTTAATCTTCTGGAGTAGACCTTGTAGTAAATACTCGTAAAAAACCTCCTTGCCAAGAGCCCGCCCCTAACTCACACGTGATTATTCAGCAAAACTGCAGCTCCACTTGAAAGATTTCTTTGCTTCCACATATAGAGTAACTCCTATTAAAGACTTTGGCCACTTTCGGGAGGGGAATAAATTAATAACTATGCAATATATTATATATGTTATAGGTAACATATATACACGTACACCGGAGACTCACTCAGACCTGAGATCTTGGAAGAAGAAGACAACCCACCCTGTTCACAGTCGGGATCTGAGACTTTAGCAGCAACAGCTCCGAGGG